TTAGTGTAACTGAAAATTTCTACTTACGGTGTGCTGCAATTCATCGTGAATGAATTACTGGAAATAATTTTTATTAAGTTTTATTTTAATAATGATTTTTCATCTAACAAAGGTTCTTATTTATTAACATTTTTGATATTTTTTATAAATTAGTTTCATATTGAATTATTTGCCTGACCATTATGTCTAACATCGTTCATTAATTTTTTTTTTATGCTATGCTGCATTATTTGTTTTTGCAGTAAGCATTTTGTTTTTAAATATTAGGTATATTTATAAAAGAAAAATAAGTAGGTGTATCCACGTATATTGGCTGACATATTGTTCTGATTGGAGAAGTTTTTAAGTGCGCTATGTCGCAAGACGTTCAGCGTTTGTAATGATAATCTGCGCATATATTACAAAATGCCTTTATGCGCTTTACACTAAATCATTAGTTATCTTTGTTCACATATTGTCGTGATATTTGCCTGTGAAATTTAATCTTCTTTGTGGTAATTTTGAATCACTGGATATAATATGTAGAGCTTCAATAAGGAGCACATCTATTGTTCAGTGGCTCTCCTTTTCTTTGTATGTCATCTTGCTCTATACTAATTAATTCACAGTTCTGCTGTGTTATAACATATAGCACTGAATCTTATAGTAGGTAAAGTACAGTATAGAAGTGCTTGGTAGTATAGTACATTCACATACGATTCCGTGGGCATATGATGTTGGTGTTTCATAATCCATAATTTTGATTTCCTCAAATAGAAATTAACATTTTTCTCATTATCATATTCTATTAGTATTCCCACCAACTGCTTATTAAAATCCAGTAATTTTTATATTTAAAACAATTTTTACAAATTCATGAACAGTGCATGAACAGACTAAGATTGAAATATATTCCTATAGAATATTTTAAATATATTTTATAAATTATATTATACTCATGAAAATGGCATATCAAAATAAATTATAACATGTAAAAATAGTTTATAAAAATAAACAAAAGTCAATCTTTCTTGTCATTAAATTTTGTTTTGAAAAAAAGTATATTGATCTATGATTTTGCACAATGTTCTTAAAATGTATACATGAATAAATATTCCTTATAAATTAATTCCAATAAACTACATTACATAAATGCTATAGCTTTATAATAGAAACTTGTAATTAAATATGAAGTATTGATAAACAAATAATATTCCAGAAACAGTTTCATAAGTTTGGTTTTCAATGACAAGAGGTTTTAGATATTACATCGTGATCATGTGGTAATGTCATAGTTTCTACAGGTGTGTATACTACTTTTACAACCTGCTCAGATACTATTATTATAAGTGATAGGCAAGTAGCTACATTTTTTGGTAAGTCATATATTTAATTTAAGGAATTAATATAAGGATGATATGTTATAGTGAGAGACTTAGAGATGATTTTAAATATTTGTTAATGTCTACATACTGTATTTTTGTTGTTTATATCAATAGCTTCTCTATTATCGGCTTAATACTTGGCCCTTCTCGTGTTCAGTATTAGGCCAAATAAAAACAATTAGTAGTTTCTCATCCACTTGTGCATCCAGTTTCTCTGCCTCACCAAATTTTTAAAAATTTCCTTAGTTTTACGAAGTGTACGAAAATCTGGGTAATTGACATAAAATTCCTCCCTCAATGGTTTGTGGTTGGGGATACATATGGTATGAATCATGTCTAGTGCTTCTCTTATTTGCTTTCAATGTTTCTACTTGAAAAAGCATAGAGGTATTGTTGAAAAGATCACTCGAAAAAGCTACGCGCACGCAGTGCTATGCAAATGTACCAGGATCAAAGCTGCCGCAGCGCGTGAAGAGCGTTTGCACGATGCGTTTGAAGTGTGATGTGTTTCCCGCCATCAAATTTTCAGCAGGCATAGTTTACCAAGAAATTGAACATGGCGAAATGGAGAGCACCTTTTTTTCTCGATGCGCACTACATTCAGTCAATCACTATGGCAGCGCAATCGTTTCCATTTTGAAGCTGATACATTTATCTCTCATAAAATATCAAACATATTAATATTTTCCACCAAAAAAAGTTTTGAATTTAATGGAACATTTACATGACCTTTAAAAGTATAGTATATTTCAACTTCAATTTTCATAAATTGGCCAAAATTCGCTAATTCTAATTTTAACAGATATTAATTAATAAATGATTGAGGATTATAATAAACTATGTCATTTTAGGGTTAACGAGGGTTAACTATTCAAAAAATCAATCCAAAATCTGAGTATTTTTCAGTTTTACGCTGACTTAGCTTTATAGTCGAACCAATCAATCTTTAGACAGAATTATAATGAACATATAAGTAATTTTAACATAAATATTTTACGGAATCCGTTCCTGAAATATACAAATAATAACATACTAAAAGTCCAAAAAAATCTAATCAGGGGAACATTGTTCATTATAAAGATATTTGATGAGTTAAAATCAAACGCTTTATTGCACAACTGCTCTGCTAAAAGCGTATAAATGCATGTCGTTGCCAAGTTGTTGCTAACGAAAAAAATTGTGAATTATAGGGTAATACGCCCGCGCGCGATCCAAAGGCGGGGAACACCTAGGTTTGTTGCGTCAAAGGGATCTGTTGCCGAGTGATCTCCTTCTCAATAATTCCAGTAGCTGTTTACCATCAACCATCTTGGATTTCCATCTCAGAGTGGAAAAAGAAAGGTGCCCTCATTCTTGTTTCTCCAAATATTAGGATTACAACCTACTTGTTTTTTTTGGGTTTTTTTTGGTCTTGGTCTAATTAATACTCTCTACATTTCACATTAGGTAGCTGATGACAGTATCATTAAATATCTAATTGAACAAAATATTTCAACTATTGTTGAATGAGGGCTAAAAATGTTTTATACTGTGTAGCTGAAAATTGTAGTCATGGAATTTACCAGAAGAAATTTACAGATTTGCACTTCTTTTCAATATCATATTTTAGATTAATATCTCAGAATCACAATACAATAATATTATTACAACATCAGAATTGAAACCAGGCCAATATATCTCTCAGAGATATTATCAAATAGTACAATAAACTTTTATTCTTTAAGTCTCACTCGGCAGTGGGAAATTTGCCACAGAGTGGATTGAGTTTCATTAAATGCTATTGTTAAGACTACAGTACTAATCACTTACTCCACTCTACTGTTCCATTTTAATTTTAAAATTGTTTTGCATTATGTGGCCATTTGCTGTTTTATGGGTTTTCCCAATTTGCCTTTTAAACTTATATTATATATATATATATATTATAACATTGGTAAGCACGTGTGTTGAAAGTAAGATAGAAAAATATGGAGACGATGGTAAATAAAAATACAGACTTCGATGGTAGAACACAAAAATATTTATTTATTAGTTTCACGGATATTTCGGTTGTTCCTACAACCTTCTTAGACAGATCATCTTGTCACATTTACATAATAATAAAGGGTGTATCTACTCCATTTCCATAAAATTTAAAATGTTGCAGTAACTACAGACCAAATTCTTCAATATCATCTTAGGTTTGGCTACTTTATCAACAATGTAACAAACGTCAATTAGATAAATCTGTTCATATACACTCCTTTAGATCACATTTTCCATGGTTTTATCTCAAACTTTTTTTTACCATTCTATGATTTCAGACCTACACATTTAATACCACAACATCCTACAGATACACTTTCGTAATGGGTTGAGAAACAAATGTACACACTCTAACCTCAGACTTGACCTTAACCACTGAACCAACTGATATCTTATCTTTTCACGAAAACTATTTACAAAACCGAAATATAAACACGTAATTAGTATGAAGGTGTTGCTGTCATATAGTAATTAAAGCCATCCTAATAGCTAATCTTGTACCTCATGTAACTTAATCTCATTATTCGTGTCATTAACCTTGGGTCTTCCATTTTTTAAATTATTTTTAAGAGAATATAAACCATATTATACCTCCCAAAAGAGTATATTAATTAATTAAATAATTAAATGACAAATAATAATCATTTTAAGATCATATATCAGTTTCTGAGTACATACACTGTTGACACTTCCCCATTAGCGTTATGTTTGATTTTTAAAAAAAAGGACTTTAAAACACATATCAGGTAATCCTACGCAATGATATTGATAGTGCTTAAATATGGAGATCTATTTAGATATCCAAGAAATACTCTATATGGATGCTAATTAGATCATTGATTCATAGAGTATATGGTCTGTGTTGGTAATTACGGCTTTTAACGGGCACACAGGTTGAGTAGTGCTTCGTTAATTTTCTTCGTCGTGCCAACAACATCTTGAAAATGTTAAGATGCACAGACTCTACATACGAACAGGCAAACATACCAGATAATAAATTTGTAGGGAATGCAACATCTTAAGGTTTCATATGACAAGGCTTGGATGCGAGAAAGTGATACGCTTTCTGTACCAGCCATTTGGTAAGACTGACCCCTTAATCTAGTGTTAATGGTATGTACAAGCCAAATATGGAAAGTCCTCTTAGGCCTAGCCTTGATTGAAGGGTTTCAATGGATAATAATAACCAGAAAGGTGTCTGGAGATGATGTCGATGTTTGCTATCCACTAGTCAGTCTTAAAACTAACTCAAGCTTGGATCCAGCTAGAGCAATTGAATTATTCTCATGTTTAGGTTCGTAATGGCTTATTAAATGACTTTTCAGAGTTGTTAATTGAGGATACAATGGCCTCAGTAAGGTTATGAACTGTCCTGTCTTTACGAGAAGTTTTATCCAATCATAAAAGAGAATGTGACGAGCAAATCAAGTTATGTGAATACGTTATGAAGAATGTTTTGTGTAGCTAATTACATTTTACCAAGGATTCACATCAAGCAATTACTGTATTAATTACCTTTTAGGTTTTGCTTGAAAGCATATTTTTGAGCAGGTGCATGAGTAAGAAGTTGAACAATGATAATAAAATTAAATATATTTTTAATCTCCACAGGTTTCAAGATATATGGAGATGATTCCGAAGGAGGCTCAACCAATCTCTGGAACTCACGGTGCTCATATTCGTAACAAACAGCTCCACGAGCAACTCCCATCACATGACCAAGCCCCAGAGTTTTGCGACAACCTCACTCAGGTCGAAGCAGACAAACTGAAGAACTTTGTACAAGAGTACAAGGACAATGCCCTAGGTGTAGGCCAGATCCAGGAAGTACGTCCAAATGAAGCGCCGGTTCTAGTGCAACAGATGACCGATCTCATGATTGAACCGCCACCACCGGCCGAGGAGCAAGGCTTGTCGACGGAACACCCAGGAGCACCTGATAAAGTGGAAGGACCAAGCACCCAGGTGAACCAGTTAGCCCAGAAGCATCCTATAGGTGATAATGGTACCAATGAATGTGTCTCTCCTGCACCAGGTGAACAAGTCACAGCTGAAGGTGATGCTGACGTGATAGAGCCAGGCTCCCCTGCTCCAAAATGGGTAAGAATAAAAAGAATTCTTTAATCATGTCATTTTCAAACATTAAATTTGATGTTGCCAAGTACATCTATAGTATATTGTGTAATTATGGAAACAACATTTTGAGGACAATTATAGCAACAGAGAGTTGAGCATTTTAAGAAGGATGCAAAGATAAATGCGGGCTTTCTTGGTTTATCAGATAATATATTATCTATTTATCGCTATACTAATCAAAATATTGTAATGTCAATATAACAAGTTATAAATACATATAGGTAGCATTAGTATTTGTTCAACATGTGTTGTGGTTACAACTATTGATTAATACCTCCACATGCATAGTAAAGCAAGTGTATTCAAAAATGCAGAAGTCAAAAGTTCTCCACAAAGAGCTCAATCACCAAGCGCATAGAGGCTTTTTCGCATAATGCGCTATACAAATCCAACTATTATTATTATTATTATTATTATTATTATTATTATTATTATTATATCATAATAATAATAATTTCCTTTTTTTTCATCAGTGGATAGATTTACTATAATCTACCATAAGTTAGACTTAGGCCTACACATTATATTCCAGTTTGATAACCAGGTACTAGAAAAAGAAGAATAAAACAATTTTTTGATAGGGACGGTTGTAAACAGAATATTTGACTTGACATTATGGAAAAGTTTTATAAACCAAATACTAACAGTCTAATCAATTTCATCTCTCCGATTTCACTACATAACTTTCTATCAATTCGTTTCTAATCCGCTGAATAAAAATTTTGTTGAAAATGTATACATTCTTCTAGAAATTTGAACATTGATTCCATGATAGGGCATAAACTTATTTATGATCTGGTCATTAAAACGTAATGAAAATGCCTGATTCGAAGTAAAAAATTTCAACTATCACTTCAATACACACAACTCCATTGTCAGAAAAAAATCTGTCCACTAAATGTTTTAGTTTGATGGCATTTACAGATGGGATGAGTACTACACTGTAGTGTTGGAATTAACAGCGCACAGGTGAAGAACTTAGTGTGGATACATTATATAGCTAATTCTTGTGGAGTTTATATTGCAATTTAGCGTGTTCTGTATTCTGCTGTCATTTTGTCTAAGCCTCCTGGGGATTCTGTGACCTGATTAGGAAGCTTTCAGTGTAGGAAGTACTTTTGTTAGTACACTATATATTATTTTGTTTATAATAATTAATGATTGAAGGATGATGCTTAACCACACCTGAGGATAATGGAGAGAGCCAGGTGCATTTGAATATTGGGAGTAATTCTGGTAGGATTATGACTACTTCTAGCCTGGTTGGTGCATCATGTGCATTAACACTAAAATCCTTCTATTGTATTAGCAGGACGATTATCCTGACTACAGCAGGCCTACTACTATAGTAGTAAACAGAAAATATACTGTACATCCACTTACAGTGCAGGTCAAGAAACTTGACAAGTTTTAATTTTGTATGTAAATATATATTTAAGAATCTTCAAAATTATCTGCCTCAAGGCTGAAGTTGTGCCTTATTTTGTTTGATGTACAGAAGTGCCTTTCCATAACTGGGTGTTTTTTTTCACTCTCCTTTGATTTTGCATCCAGTGCTGCATGTAATGCACATTTATTATTATTATTACCTATACAAAAGGTGTTTTTTTCCCTACCTCGAAACCAAACAAACATAGAAGCAACACACATTTTGAAGCACTTTCCCCAGGGGGTTTAATACTTGCTTTAGGTTGGATTGTTGATATAGGATAATTGTTCTGAACTTTACAATTACTCTGAACATCTACAGGAGACAAATTGACAAAGCAAGAATAGCAATCAATAAGCAATTAAACAGTCTGCACTCTGTGAAGGTGGATCATGTCGCAGGTATAATGACGGAGAGAGTGATTTAGGTCGTACCTTCATCAGACCTTTCTGGATAACGTTCATTTCCTCTCTGCAAGAACATTTATTTCATTTATTGAGTTACATACCAGAAACGTTACAAATCTGTAATGGAAAATGTTATTAAAAAGATTGAAGCCCTGTCCAGACTATCAAATTTTATTTGACAAAAATATATGACATGTCTAAATATGGTCATGATGACATCATATCATGACCTTATATAGGCACAGCATGACTATATAAGGGCATACAGTTTTTTTGTCAAAGAAATTTTGATAACTTGGACAGAGCTTTATATTCGAGAAGCATTATTACAAATCTGTGATGGAAAATATTTTCAAGGACGTTAGAAAAGAACAGGAAATTTTAAAATCTGGTTGAAATTCTTCTTGATCCTTTTAACATTTTGATGATGCTTCTTGATTGTAACAAATCAAGAGAAATCAAAAATTTTGCTGCAATATACAAACAAAAAACTGTAAAATTTACTAAACATTGATTACACAGAAATTTGTACGGAAAAAAACCCTACAAATTTATGTCATTCTTTTGGTTTCAATTAGGCAGATTCAGATTCTAAGAAAACTTACAAATAAAAAATTGCAAAATTTACTACACATTGATTATAGAAATTTGTACTGAAGAAAAACCCTAAAAAATTATGTCATGCTTTTGGTTTCAATTAGTCTGATTCAGAGAGAATTTAATCTTGCTGCAACATACAAACAAAAATCTGCAAAATTTATTAAACATTGATTTACAGAAGTTTGTACTGAAAACCCCTACAAATTGATACTTTCACTTTATGTTAGTCATCAGGTAGTGCTTAACTTCAGATCCTCGAAATGAACATTTTGTTTACACCAAATGCAAAAATAATAAACATACTGTAATATAAACAAAACATTTCATAATTCAGGTTGAGTTTTCTCATTTTTGTAAACACAAAGCCCATGGATTGCCAGTGGCGAACTTAATCACTGTCTAAGTACCAGTGCATTTCACAACACAAACACACAAGATGTTCTACATAAACCAAGTTATTAAAGTACATAAGTGTGCCTACAGATCCCTAATATTAATTTTCAATAACAGCTCTATGCTTGGAATTCCTGCTGCCCCTGTTCCAGATATGAGTTGGCGTACAAATATTTATGAAAAATGTGACAAGATGCCTACAATAACAACCCGTTAAGAAAGGTTTAACTAATATATTTGATGCTAAATGACATGGAAACCCTTTCTAATGAGATGCATTAATTTTTTTTTATAAATAAGATGTTCATGTTTGTCCAAATGTAGGCGTCAAATATAATGAAAACCACCTAATTTTTATTCATAAGAGAATAGAAATCAAATGTGCTAAAGATGGCAATTTATCTACTCTACGATATAATATATATAGTATAGAGTTACCGGTACTTTTAACCTAACATCTTACCATCGTAATTTAATTGATGATTATGTATTTAGTTCTATACAAAGTCAACAGAATTTTTTTTTAAGTCAAAAATTTATATACTGTTCCCTCTTCTCATAAATATAAATGGTAGTTAAGAAAAGCAAAATAAAAATATATATCTGAATAACTTGAGAGTACAACTGGTACAAGTATACAGTTCAGGATTTGACCTTAGGTCAAGCTTACGTAAACTACCAGCAGTTTTAGAATAAAAACTTCCTCATATAAAATTATAAATAAAATAATAAACACCGAAATCATTAAACAAATATTATAAACATGTGATAAATAAATAAATGAAGGAATGAAAGTATTTACTGAGTGTATTAATGTTTTGATATTATTTAAAGTACTGTACTTTGTTATTCTTTTCCATAATTGAATTGATGACAACATTATCATTAATTATTGGATAAATTGATAAGATTACCAATAAAATCCGTAAATAAAGATAGTTACTTAAATCCATGTAAGCTACGGACGCTTCCAAATGATTGCCCGGTAATCTTAGTGAGACCAGGGATTTTTTGTGCAATATTAGCCACGCTTGAGTAGTTTAATGTCCGCTGGTGTAAATGCTAATGTGATGGTTTGGATACGTTAACCTCTGATATTACTTGCCACTGACAATAAAGATGTTTAGTCATCCTCCCACGTCTTCTTGCAAAGTGCATTATTTCGAAGAAAGGACTTTTGTTTTGAAAAATAAGGCAGATCAATTAGAAATATTCTTAATTTTAAGTAATTTTAAATTATCTTAATGGAAATATTATACCTTTCTATGTAATTTAATAGGTTTACAGTAATTTGATTTAGTAAGAATGTTGATTTTTTAAATAATAATTTATATATATATAATTTTGCAGTGTCGTATTACCCATTGTTTTTTGTGTCCTTAAAATGATTAATCTACTAATTCTTATTGTTAGAGTTTATCATAATACATTAACATCAAACATATTCTTCATAAAATAGATAAAATTTGTTTACTCATTTGTAAAATTTCAGTAAAATAACGATTTTGGTAATGTTTATAGTTAATCATAAAGAATTTTTTTTTACCATTGATAAAACTGTGTTTGTAAGAGTTTTTTCATTGTAATAATTTTTTGCTTTCCTACAGCCGGAAAATTTTCAAGAAACTGGTTATGTAAGTGACATGCTTGGATTTATTCGGCAGAACATGCATTATGTTCCGTGAATGTATACAGGCATTAGAAAAGCCTTGCAATGGTTGCTAAATTTATGTTACAGTATTACCGGTTATTCACAATTCAATTCTTACAAGTCTTCATGTTATGTTAAAACACTGAAAATCTCTGTTCTGTATACTTCATTAGGACCTGTCACTGATGTGATTCTAGTTTCTCTCTTTCATTCTTTTGATATAAAATTCTACTGTTATCACATTGATAGTTTTGTCTGGTTTTCAATATCTGCGGTTTTAGTACCGTAAAACTCTAGCTGATCACTTTGTATAAAATTTACTACTTTAGAATTTCTTTTCTTCCTTTATCCTTTCTTTTGTTCCCTTTTATCCTTTTGTTCATTTTATATATCCTTTGTTCACTTTATCCTTTCTTGGTCTCCTTTATCTTTTCTTTTGTCCCCTTTATCCTTTCTTTTGTTCCACGTTCTCATCTTTCATTTTTTGGTTTGCATTTTGTAAATTTTTTTTGTTTGTTTTCAACACTGTTTTGATTTATAGTAATTTCTAATTGGTTAAATTATGTAACCTGCATTTTGTTTAATTTTCCATAATGGGATTTTAAATTTGTTTTAGTGCATGTTAAGCCCGTCACTCACTGTGTCATACGACCCCAACTCCGCTATCTGTCTGCTGATTGTCCATAGCAGTCTGAACGGAGCGTCATTAAAAACGATCCGTTGCACGCGCGTTATGCTGTTGCGTTCTACATAGAATCGCATCGGCCAATGACCATCGGACGCAGAGTAAGAGCCCAGCACTAGCTCTATGTTATTGCATAAATTGCACTTTAGGATAATAAATTATGCAATACACTTTCGATATCAAGTGTATTTAATACTTTAAACCTAAAAAAAGAGAAGTAAAACTGAAAAATGTCTTTCAAGTTTCATATAATAATTTCATCAATTCTAAAGTTTGAAACCTTATAGCAACATAAATGCAGTCTCTACTACAGAGAAACGTTTGGGTGATTGTAGTGTTTATATGGTTTCAAGCTTTAGAGTAATGAACTTACAGTATTCTAGGTCTTCCACCAGGTTTTTGACTATGGTGGTATTGTTTTTCAAAATTTTAGGTTTGATGTTGTACTCTACACTCTGTTGTTAATATATTTGTGATGTTATTTTCACAAATTAAATATACTATCCTCCACTTATAATTAAGTTGAATTTTTTAAAAATTATTATTACATTCAAACCTGCAGATGACTAAGTTTTATCCACAACATGTATTAAAGCTTGATTAAAGTAACACAAGCCTGAATGGACATTTATTGACATACTAAAGTTATAATCAGGCATAAACATACTTTAAAGAGAACATTAAAGAATGTCTGAGATGTATGCATATTGATATCTTTTTAAAGGTTCTGTGCATTGCATCCATAATTAATTGCAACCAGTATTCAATTATTATAAATATTAATAGATTTCTATATGTAATACTAACAGAAAGGTGTAGAGTTGTACAGAAAAATGTACTACCTTCACATCCTTCTTCCCCCTCAAAATCGGTTTACTAATGCATGAATTGAGAGGTTCTGTACATTATGCAAAATGTATTGTTAAGCACTGATGAAATATGTTTAGAGCTAACATCGTATATATTTAACATAACACTAAGAAGAATCATATACAAAGATATAATTTGCAACATTTGCGATTCTGTCAATTTATTTCCAGAGAAATCTTCTAAAATTGTATGAATGATGTAATTTATGCTAGGAAAATTATATGAAAAAGTTTGAAACAGATTTAATATGCAGTTTGTTATATTTGAACTGTCTCCATTGTAAGTTATTTTTTTCAACAGTTTTCAATATTTTCGTTTCTTGTTTATCTCACATGTAGTTTTGAATAGTAATTTGAATCTAGGGTGTGAATACCTACTTCCAGTAGCTTCCAAATATCCATTAAGAATTAATGATGTATAAATGATTACACCTGATACTAAACTAATAATAACTAGCTTCATTAGTCTATAAGTATTCACATTCATAATTAGAAATGTCCAACCATGACTTGCCATCTCAGATTTACACATCAAACACCTAGTTCTCCCTACCTAACATTCTCCCGTTGGGACATTTAAACTTTGCATGGACTGTTCACCTTGTCTTTGCTTCATTATAGTAGCAATGATGCTTCAAAAAATCTTCCCTGTAATTGATGAAAAGGAAGGGCCTCACTGAACATGTCTAGCAACGATGTAAATGACTGAAAATTTCAGTTTTAAAGAATTTCATGTGATTTAAATAAAATTCCATACTGTCAAATTTAGCTAATATATTTTCCCGGTTGTTTCCTGCCCTTGTGATAATCACTTTTTATATTAGTGTCCTACATACTGGTGCAGTAATTGCCCTTCTTTATGAACATGGATTTTTTTTTTTTTAATATTAAAAATTACTATCCAAATGTTTGCCCAGGGACTACTGTAGGTTCTTATCTTTCCTAACACTCTGTTTGTTCTCAACTAATCACTCATCTTGCCACTTAAAATGTTCAGATTATACTTCCATCCTCAAAGTTGTGAGTTACTTAATGGTCAGAATTTATTCCATGTTGGGTTACAAATATTCGCCAGGAAGAGAACGGAAGAGGTTGCATGTTATGTATGATTAATTCTGCATCCAAGGACCAGAGTAGCTATATAAGGCATAGTGCATGATATGCATTTAATAGTCCCCTATTAATAATAACTCAGCATGGGTCAGGAGGCCACATAGCCACAGTATTTGAGTAAGGTGTAACTGGAACTGTACACACTTCATCACAGCCCAGCTCAGAGTGTTTACTTTTCATTGTGCATAGATGGATTAATAAAGCATGAGAAAATACCTACAATTTAATGCATCTTGCCATTACCAGTCCCATAGGAACATACATTTTATCAATTTATCATGTGATTTTGTTGAAATATATATTATTTAAGAATACATTTATATACACAGGAAACACATATTATACACAGCAATCTCCTTAAAGGGCACTGCTATCAAAAGATTATTAAAACGAGACAGGACTTGACAGCTAAAAAAATTGAACAAAATGGAGATTTATGGATTCATTTATTGCAGTGAACATATGGAACACAATTTTGCCTTAAAATAATCTGAAAACTTCACTAAACCTGAATCATTTCTGATGCTAAAATAAAATGTTTCATGATTTTACAGTATAATGTTTTTGAGCTGGTGGCTAATACGCCATGACACCATACAATGTGCTGGCTATTGGTAACCATGGCAATGGCCCATTGCCAATAATGACTTCTCTCTGTTGCGGCTTGCTCTGTCCTCACTTACAAACATCTATTGATCTGTAGGTTTCTGTATTCTCTAGCATTTTGTTATGAATATTTTAGTGGAGGTTAACCAACTGGGACTCACGATATGAATCTGGTTTAATAAGCCATGGTCGACTTATAATTTGAGATGATTTGTGAACATATTCCCTTGGGAGAAAACTGGGATATACAGAGCTTTCACGGAGAGGAAGACAAATGACCAACTTAAGGCTTAGGACTCATGGTCCGTTGGCGGTGGTAATCCGGCAACAAATTATTGTGCTTAAACATTAAAAAGAGGTTCTGAAACTGGTAATACTGGAATTAATCTTAAGATTAAAGTGATGATAATGATAGATGATGACAATAATATATTATGATAAATTTATAATATTAATATTATAGTATATCATATTTGACCAACCTGAATAAGTTTATGTCTATAGAAAGAAGATTGAAAACAAATAAGCAAAATCTTCTTTGGTGATTATGTACTGATCAGGGAAAGAAAATTTGTATTAAGTGGACATAAATTTAAACACGTTGACTCTCATTTATGAATGTACTTGTTTTACAGAATAGGTGTAACCAAGCACACAAACCTTTTATATTATAAATTAGGTGTGGTGACTGCTGATTTCAATGTACACAACATGTAGTTTGGGGAGAATCTCTTTGTTTTGAACAACCTAAGAAAGTTCCTCTAAATTATATTATGTACGGCCTATAATTAGTTTTCTCCATAATGTGTCCATTGTAACTATAAAAACATAACCTTTTGTATAATAATAACAACCTATAAATGGGTCAAATGGATCTATTAATGGTTTTATAATCACTGTTTCATTTTTGGGATTTTCACTTATTCCTTTTAATATTCACTAAATATATATCCACTAATCCCTATTCTCAGCTTATGGTTTTTTATTAGAGTACCCCGCAGTTTCATCGGTATAGATACATAAATCGTAAGCCACTGCACACCATTACCTATAACGTTGACAAGACATTGAGAAGTAAAAATCGTTAGTTTTTAGCTTAATGATCACTAAATGGAACTAGTAACAACCGAAGAAAAAAAAAAGCTGATAAAGAAATTCTAAAGAGCCTTTTGAAAGCGTAGGCTTACTCAAATGTTTAGAAAATATTTTTGTGTATTGTGAAAATGGACTGTGTTTTTTGTATTGTCACCTGTTTTCACCAAATACAGGAAGAGTTGATGGATTTTGTATATTATATTGTCACCTGTTAAAATCCAGGAAGACTAGATTTAGGTTGTGAAACAGATTCAGTTGGGTTTTTTTTCACTTTGCAGTCATATATTCATTAAAGTATTTTTAAACTGATTATTATATTAATTTATATTTTATTTTAGTAATATTTGTTTCATAATGAACTAATTTATGTGCATTGTTGAACTTAGTTGAATTAAGTACCCTAATTAAAGAAAATGCTCAAGCTCAAATGAGTGATCCATTCTGTTTATACAATCTCCATCCATCCCAATGAATTGAGTAATTGTCAACGTCATTAATATGTAAATTTTTGTGTTGTATCTTGCGGGGATGAGGAAGCCTACATGATTGTTGCAGACATTAACAAGTCAAATGTACCTATAGGCTACACATTATTCCATGCTAGGCTTTAATGCTTTAAAGTATTGGGCTTGGTAGCATTGTTTATTTATTTATTTATTTATTTATTCTCTATTTTACCAGGGTGGCCCAATCAGTCAAAGAGACTGGTCTCCCTTGGGGCCCTTGGTACAAAATATTTTTAGACAATAAAAACTTAACTAAAAGTTTACACATTTACGTACATACAATAAAAGATAATTAATCTTACACTATTGATGCCTTTAAGGTTGTTGAGGCATGTTTCAGTTTTGACAGATCATTGAAGTTGGTTTCAGGTCATTCGGTCATTAAAGCTGGTGCAATTAAATAGCTGGCCGTTGGTATTTAATATTTAAGCTCTTCCAATAATTCCATCATCAGCTGGGTCCTTATGGGATCATCTTAGAAAGCATTGTTCTATCTATGTATTTAGTAGTGTTGGATGGGAAATTGCCCTATTCATCATATGATGATGAACATAAATACTGTACTGTGTCTCCCATTCATCCCATTCTACATACAATTACAAGGGGACAAATGTCAGCGTTCAAAGTGTCACACATAGGGACAATGACACATACACATAAGTAACACATCATTACAGTATTTATAGTGAAGACATTGTGTACTACTGGCCAGTCATCCTGAATCATTCTCAACTGAACTCTGAGCCCCCAGAATACACAATATAGTCACCAGGTTGATGACAGCTATCACTCAGGGGTCTTCTCAACAACAAATCCTATTGGGGGCTCACCTCAAAAACTCATCAACCCAACTAATATTAACATTTTTACTGACCAGAGTAAAAATATTAATTTGCCTGATTAAATGGATTTTGAAATTGATTCTAACACGTTTGTTGGATTTTAATCAAAATTATATGTATACGGTACATGTTCAAACATTGATTAGAACTAATTTGCATATTCTGTCTGGGAACAGATCAAATTTATTGAAGTTAGTTTTTTTATAATTTATAATAAAAATTCAGCTGTGGAGATGCATGTTTGTTTAAGAGGAATGCGAGATGACTATAACACATGATATGTGATTCACAACATTTTTCTCTTTATAACGATTTTCTGACTGTTTCACCTTTAGGCATGTTCTAAGTGTGGGGGCAGTATGAGGGGAGGAGATGTTGCCGTGTTTGCAGAGAGAGCTGGAACTAACAAGTGTTGGCATCCTGCTTGCTTCAGATGTCATACGTGTAGTGAACTTCTGGTGGATCTGATTTACTTCTGGAAAGATGAAAATGTATTCTGTGGACGTCACTACGCTGATCAGATCAGGCCACGCTGTGCTGCTTGTGATGAGGTTTGTAATTAACAAATTAAATCAGATCTCTTTAAATGATATACTGCCATCCAAAAACTGTGCATCTATTTTCTCTGCCTCACAATTTTTTTTTGTTTCCTTTATTTTATGAATGTACGAAAATCTGCCGAACTCGCGTGTAAAATTCCTCTCTCGATCGTTTGTGGTTAGGGATACATACATTATGAATCATATCTAGTGTCCCAGTGACAATCTTGAATTTGCCATCTCAGAGTTAAAAAAAAGTGCCCTTATTCTCCTTTTTTTTTAAATATCAGGACGAGAAACTACTCTTTTTTTTTTTACTTGGTCTAACTCTTAAAATTTTGTTATCAGTTTTAAAAGATTTTTATAAATTTTATAATTATTATATATCAATCTTTATATTATTAATATAATGTTAATTATTCAAAACATAATTTATTCCTAGTCTAGCATATGATCAGGCATTTTCGTTAATTAATGCGTAAACGTATATTTCGACTACGTATGGATTTGCCATTATAATGCAAGCTTGATTACTTTACCTGCTGCCCCCGCAGCATGTTTAATAACTTGCAGAATAACATTCTAGTTTTTGTATACACAGACATTCAAAATTATATTGGTCTGGGAATTTTTTTACTGGCAATATCCATCATCAGCAGCAGTTTGAGGCTTATTTTACATTAAGACGTTATTTATTATTAAAGTAATTCATTTTCGTGGGTTTATATCCGGATGGTAATTTTAACCGAATATGTTTAGAGTGGAACTATAGCATGTGGGGAAAGCTGTGTCCAAATTATCAAATTTTCTTTGGCAAAAAACTATTGTGTATGCGTATATAATATAGTCATGATGTGCCTATAAATGATTATGATGTGATGTCATCATGATCATATTTAGGCATATCACATGTTTTTGTTTCTACAGGGCTTTAGGTATTTGCCTCAATTCCTAGATTGTAATCTCATGAATACAACAATTTTTACTAACAGTTAAAAAACAACTCTACTCCCTAATCTGCATAATGCGGATCTGTTTTTAGAGCAGAGGTCTATACGCTAATAATGAGTTCTTGGTGTTACATTTTGTTCGCACTATCAAGTTGCATTTGAAAAATTTGCCCATAATAGGCATGATGATGTCATGTAGCGCCTATATATGGCAAATTTAACAAATTCGTCACATAAAGCCTGATAGTATTGACATAGCTTTAGACACGAGATCAAGAAAAAAATACGTTATTCAAAAACAACTATGTGTATACCTTCCTATCTCTAAAGCTGTGTCCAGACTATCAAATTTTATTTGACAAAAAAACTGTTGTATGCCCATATTTAGACATAAATGGTCATGATGTGCCTATATATGGTCATGATGTGCCTATATATGGTCATAATTTGATGTCATCATGACCATATTTAGGCATGTCACATCTTTTTGTCAATAAAATTTGATAGTCTGGACAGGGCTTTAAAACCTAATCTTTGAAATGAAACCAAGATCTTAGGATGTGGAGGTGAGCTCCCTTCTACTGCGCCACAATAATTGCGTGTCTGCTTAAAATGGCTGAGCAATCAAGGCAGGAGTACCACAACTTACAGCCATAATATCAGGGCTGGTTTTCGAATGGCATGCTCGCCTTTGATTCTGGTAGAAGGACTATAAACTGTAGGTTCAGTGTACACAATTGGCTCATGTGCACTTTAAAGAACCCAGTATATCTTTCAAGACAAGTACCCCGGTGTACTTGTCCATACAGCCCCTGTTACCCTGCGCTTATGGACAGGGTACTTATTAGGTACTTTGCAGGATATACCCATGTCAAAATGTCATTTCAAATGTAAAGATTGTCAAAATAAAATTTAACTTGAACCTACTTGATGATTTCAATGTGCTGTTTCTTAACCGTTAATTTATATCACCAATTTTTAGTGAATTGAGTAGGAAAAAAATGTGTTAAAATATGTTTTAATAAAGATTCTAGAATCTCCCTTGTTTTCTGCATGTAAAGAGGAGTAAATTGAAATATATGCTCATTAAATTCTGTTTTTTTTTCCCCGTTTAATATTCTTTAGCTGATTTTCGCCAAGGAATACACACAAGCAGAAGACCAGAACTGGCACTTGAAGCATTTCTGTTGCTGGGAGTGTGACACGCCCCTTGGTGGCAAACGCTACGTTGCTAGGGATTCACATCCTTATTGTCTTGATTGTTACCAAAACACATTTGCTAAGGTTTGTATTTGTGAAAACATTCTCTAATTCTTTGGTAGTTGGAAGTACGAGAATAGCCCATAATTCGCAGCTTCATTGTGCTAAATTGCATATTGGCGTGATCCGTGACTGCCTTATTAGCCATAGAGAGGTACTTAGTAGTAAGTTCATGTCCAAATAATTCTTGAATGACGGACAGAAATGAACCATAGTGCTGGGGTAACCCCCTACCCTTCCGAAGTGTGCAATCGGTTCTTTAAAGTGCTCACAAGCCAGATGTCTACACCGGAAACGTCAGTTCAAGTCACAGGTGGACAAAGTGCAGCCTGCACGTCACATGCGGCCCAACAGTCATTTTTTGTGGCCCACGAAAAAGAGTTAATAACTCTATGTGTGCAGCCTGCCAAATATGGTTTGATAGAAAACACCTTGTTTATTATGACATGACCCAGATCATCTGTAAAAATTACTATTAAAACAGAATAATGTGGTGTAAAAGCAGGGCATGAAGGTTTTTGAAAGCACGCTGGAAACATCAATTTTGGGTGCGGCCCTTGGTTTTGAATCAAAACTTTACTTTGACCCTCTGACCAATTTTTATGCCCACCCCTGGTTTAAGTCCTTATATGAGAAGACTTGGTTCTACTAACCGAACCCTAGGCTTTGAAATAATGCTCAGATTTCATAGGCTAACAAATTATTTTTATATGTGGTTTCTACCACATAGTAGATACCTGCATGTGAATTTTTGATTTTTATATTTTCTGCAGACTTGTAGCTCTTGTAGTAAGAAGATCCAAGCAGATGGTCAGCGTTTGAGCCACGGTGACAGCCACTGGCACGCCACCAATGAGTGTTTCAAGTGCAGCGGATGCCAGCAGTCACTCATCGGTAAACAGTTCCTACCAAAGTCGGGCTACATCTTCTGCTCTGTCACATGCAAAAAAAAAGTTCTTCCATAAATTTAAATTTTAAATCTACATAAGAGATGTATTCAGTCTGCGGATATTTATGCAAGCAGCTGACCCCTTTGATGAACTTGCTAAATATTTGTATATAATATACAGTAAGTGAAACTGATATGTTAAAGATATATTACACTATTTACACTGTATATTAATAAATATATCTATAAGATGTGTATAAGAGACAGGTCATAATGTGATATCATGACCATATTTAGGCATGTCACATCTTTTTGTCAATAAAATTTGATAGTCTGGACAGGGCTTTAAAACCTAATCTTTGAAATATTGGGTTACACAAGAGGGGATGGTAAACAGTTTATTAAATGTCAGCGGAGACAAATACAACCAAAGCATCTGCAAAGGATACACCATGATACCGAAGTCTACTTAATGATGCAAGCTGATCATTTATATATGAGGAAAATATTACATTATTTAGCCTGGTTGAACATTAGATTTAAAATGGTAGGAAGAAATGGCTAGCAAAGCTTAGGTATAGATATAAGAAATATCTAGACTTAACATTCCCAATTGTAAAAAAAATATCTAAAACTGAAAGACAAGTGTAATTTTAGGTGAGGATAGAAAAATTAAGCATCTTGCATAGATAATTAGTTTGCCAAATAGTGTAATCAAATGAAATTAATGAAATTAGATTTGTAATTAACCTAATGAACAATTATTAGAACATTTAGTATTTATATATTATCTATCTGCAGAACACATACTTCTGTTAGATGCACAAAAGCAATGCATTCAGTAGCATCCCCCTTCATGGATCGGAGTATTATTACTTAAGTGTCTTAAAGCCAAAGATAGGATTTACTGTATCCTTTGACCAATATAATGTAGGCCATGGGTATTGTTGTATGTAAATCCAAGGTGTTGATTGCTTGACTCTAACATTAAACTTCAGTCTTGCTATCTATATGCATTAAAGCATGTCGGGAAAAATTTCCAAATTGTATTATGTATCTCCAAGATACAATCTAATATTACCTTGTTCAGTAAAAATTTGATTGTCCTTTGATTAGAATGATCATGCAATTATTAATCAGTCAATTTCTTTTGGCCCTCATAATAATAATTATAATTATTGTAGTAAAGAAACTTCAAGGCCCGTCCCCATTCCCTTCCATTCTGTCCATGGCTCTACTTTCTGTCAGTTTTGAAGAATTTGAACTTGCACTTATTCAAATGTCTTGCGTTTAAAATTTGTTTTTCAAAGTAATTCTTTTGAAATTTTCTTTAAATGAATAATATTTAATTTGGAAAGAATTTGACCATATTTGGAAAGTTGTTTAAAGTTTTAAATTTTGTCATTTTCTTGGTTGTTTCTGTCCAGGATTCGGTGCTCTTCTGATCATGCTCCACTTTCTGAAATAAGAAAGTGTCGTGCCTTGTGAATTAATGGTTAAATATAATAAATTAGGTCATGAAATTTCTTAAGCATAAGTCTTTTATTCACGGTATGTTTTGGTACACTAAGCATGGATGTGTTAATGATTACTCAGTATTTTACATATTGTGCCTTGATACACGTAATCAGTTTATCTGTAAATGATTATTACAACTGCAAATTGGTGTTTGATTTTACTTGTACAAACATGATCAACTGATCCTTTTCTACAGTTTCAATTTTATAAACCAGGATGAAGATGATTTATTTCACTTTTTATTTTGAAAATTAGATTTTTAGAGTCTTATAATTGAGACCTTCAGATGATTTATTCTGATCAGTAGTAATAGCGCCCTCTGTGGTTTGAGAGTGCCATTGAATAGTAAACAAAATGTTTGAAAATTACACTGGAAAAGTGACCACATGGTTAAACCCAATTTAGGAAGAAAAAAGTCTGATATAGTTTTTTAATAGGCCTATCTGTAAATCATACATTATAGTATTCTACTAAATGGATCCCAATTTTATAAATTTCATGTCATTAGATAAAGAATTTAAAATGTTTAAGCAGAAACTTTATTGGTACAGTACCATTAGGCCGACCAGCCCTCCTTAAACTAACGTTAGAATACCGCGGTAAAGAACAATTAAAACCTCATAAAAAAGGCAACTAATCCGTTTACCTATAATTGAATCCAAGGACACCAGTGTTAAACACTATCGAGGGCGGGTTGAGCTAATATATAAGATGTATTTTTTTCAACTTAGTAGATGAGGCCACATAAAGCATATTTCTAATGGTAGACACAAGCCATAGCTTTGAAATCCATATAAAACTTCTATCCATGATTGACAGTGATTGATGCTGTCATGATGTACAGATGTATGAATCTGGCTGAAAACTGTATAAACTTGCTTATTGGATTTGGTGAATTTTAAAAGCTATTTTTGTGGCTTAAAACTTAAATCAGCAAAATAGACTGAATATTAGTTGGTTTCTGGAGTTTGTCTGCATCATCAGAAGCACTTTATGTAGCATGGCGCCCTCTATTAAATATTAGTGTATTAAGGCGCTGTCTGTACTGAAGTTTTGTGTTAATGTTTTGTTATATATCTTAGCAGTACACCAGTCATCTGGATCAACATATTTAATGAATGATATTTATAAATGAGGTCCTTAAATACTCCCCCAATTAAAGTATACTTTTGGGACTGGGGTCAAAAAGATAGATAAAAGATAGGCATTCATTTTGGGGTGCAGGAAGGTGGTCTTTAAGTAGAGGGAAAACTGAAGATTAATCTTTTATTTGTGCACATTCTGTATTGTGCTGCATTACAAAGATTAATATTAAGATGAAATGAACATCACATGTTATAATAATACTGTATTACATAGTACAGTACCTCTATTTTATAGTACAGTACCTGTTTGGCTAAACCAATGAGAGGTTCTTTATTTACAGGACTTCATGCGTTACACCGTAACACCATAGAATTCACGGTCCTGTTGTCCTGGTACTATTCAAATATGAAATACTCCTCAGAGAGCTAGAAGTATGTTTTCAGTATGTGTTTTGTTTCCCAATGGTTTGAGGAATAGGAAGTGCAAAGAAGTTTTGGTGAAAATGAGTTGTACTGTGTAACACCAACATTTTTGTTTAGGCCAAACTGTGGAGGCACTTCACCATAACCAACCTACTATAGAAGAACAATATGAATATGTTTCTTCACAGCATTAATAATGTTGAGGGGAATTGAAGATTTTTAAGTGTAGCATACCCTTGAGGCACAAAACTCATGAACTCGGCTTAACCTTAGATTACATAGCTCTTGTTTAATTACCGATACCACAGTAGGGCCATATTGTACCTGTGGTATTATGCTTCCTAAAATATAGTTCAGCTTTATTGTTGGTTACGTTTGCTTTAGGTTTATGATTTAACAAACTACTGTATATTCATGTTTTACCAGATTTATATAATAATGTCTATATTTTTATTGGTCCTGCAAGTGTTTATAATTTTATATGGTTCAAATATGTATTCATATATGAATTTTATTACCTCTGCTTAAAATGAATATGTTTATAATTATATTATAATGTGTATCTAATTTACCCTAAAAATAATGCTTTTAATTTTATAATGCTTAGGCCTAAATGCTTTTAAATACCAACATCCCCACATACACCCCATTGCTCTAGACATACATTGCACAAATTTTAAATACCCACTCATTTGAGATTGAAAATATCATATGTATATTTATGTTTATAACCTGATTTGTATTTGGTTTTTTGTCTACTGAACCAAACACGCTCTCATCTAAAGCGTGTGTCTGTGTGAATATACCATAGTTATTACAGTAACGATTTAATATTGTTAGTGATTATTGTGTGTTGATATATGAAAGACTGTTGTTGAAGTTTGACCATGTTTTAAAGGGCCTATCTTCTTCATGATGTCTGATTATTTTACCAAAGCTTTTAAAATATATTGTCAAACATTGTCAAGTATGTAACCAGTACAATAGTTGATTGATAATAAACTAGTTATTCTATATGTATTTGTTTGTTGTTTAATTCTTAAATGTTGCAGTTAGTCAAACATAGGAAAATTTATGAATGTATTCACATGGATCCTCAAGGGATAATGCTTAAATTTGTTATTAAAATATTATACTACCAGCCCAAAAAATCGGGATTCAAAACCATTTCAATGATTTCAGATGTTTTACTGCAAAAAACAAAAATTAATTTTCTGCCAGAAGTGTAAGATAATATGCAGTCTATAGGAAAGGACCTTTCAGGAGTGTCAAACCTCACTGACCAATCAAAACAGGACCTGAAACACGCATGTTTCCTGCAAAAATCGCACTTGTTTACGTGGTGTTTTTCTGTCATTCAACTTGCAGTTGAGTATAGTGAACTAATGTAATAATAATGGCCCGTGGTGTCATCAGCATCCTGAAAGTTTAAAATGCATTTTACTAATCCCAGGTGTGCTGTAACCGAAGAAACAACACCAGGCTAATGGTATTCAAGTTGCTTTCATTATTCTCTAATGTCAATTGGCATTGGGTTTCGTTATGTTTAGAGTTGACCATTATATTACACGCGGTATAGTCACAAAACAAACAAATATCTCACACGTCACCACCTGTAACAACATTATCGTCCACAAAGAAAAAGCTGTGAAGTATATAAAAAGTTTCCCCAATCGCGATTCGAACCCAGTACATTCTGCTATCAACGCAGACGCTTTCCACCAACTGGGTACTGGGGCTTCAAACTGGATGGAGCAACTAATCATTCACTCCCTTATGCATGCGTAGTTGAACAGCACCGTAGTTTTTGATGCGTCGCAAAAACAGTGATCAATATGAGCATTTCCGCTCTGTTACTATACATAGTATGTTGATGTTGAAAGAGTCTAGTAAGCCTATACTGTGCTAGTCACTAGAGCCACTGGCCTTCTCACTAAAGGATTTAGTAACCCAGACGAATTATTCGCTCTAATACACCTTACACGAAATTTTTGTTAAAGTTGCCAGTCGTCTAATCCTATTCAATCTGAAGATGCATTTAGATGACAGCTTAAATAGGTGGTTTTGTTTTTGTTTGAATTACAACTTGATCGACTTCTTGAGTAACCTTATTTTGGCGTTCCATTGTGAATTTACTAAACAGGAAGTTTTTAAACTATACCAACTCTCTCTGGCTCATCCAAAATTTATATCAACGATAGGTCTAATAGTTCAGACAGGCATAGAGGTAAAAGAATAAAGTATTCCTTCCATTTAAGTTAGGCCTACAACTGATATTTTCCATACAGTCAATCCCACAATAAATTCGTCACTCATCAGCTTTCATACAAATGGGCTGCGTGATTTCTTGGGTATTTTGGCATTTAACGATTATTAGCCGTTTGGGGATGGTATTATAATAATGTTGACACTCGGTTATTAACAAAGAATCATCGGTAAACGATAGAAGAACACGTCTGTATACTTTAGATTGGTTGCCGACACAAAAGCAAAATATTAACAATGGGAAAGTACTGCCATCTGCCTTGTGATCCATTACATTGCAAAGTTGAATCAGAAGTAGAAATACCAACCCATTTGTCAGTTCCTCCGCATGAAGTCATACTCGTCGCAGACTTTGTGACGAAACTCATTTTAAAATATAATATACTTTTAAGGATGAATAAGGACCAGTTTCGAAATGGAACACCGAATTTACCGACAACAGGTGAGGGCAGTTTTTTTTTTTTCAATCATACAAACGATACAAACGATTAAATTTTGTATTTTTAGGTTAACTTGACATTCTTAGCATTGAAAGGAGGGTAAAAGAAGTCAAATTTTGGTGAGGTTCAGGAGACGGATCAGGCCCTTTAAGATCGATACCGTACCGTAAATCCGTGGGGATACTTTAGCCTATAGTGTGCAATTGACTGTAGAATATACGTCAAATTTCAATCCTTGGCTTTTCTAAAACCTAACGTAACATTTTTTTACCTACAGTCGTTTTTTATTTGACTGTCTTCCTGGAATGCAAGTTTCCCAAAAGAGAATTTTCAGGCACTGATACTTTCCGACCTATTTTAAATCGCAACCCTAAAGATGTTTGGCACTTAAATGATTAATCTTTAAATGAGCAATATTAGCGGTCGATAGCAGCAATGAATCTTTGAATCTCATAATCAAGTTTTACTAATACTTGATCGAACTTTTAGGCAACATAAAATCTTGATGAATTAGGTTCCAGAATCTCACGATCAATCCGAATCTGATGAAGATTGTTTTCTCAGTTTGTAAACATTAACAAATCCATAAAACTTTCGGTACACAATGCCATGTGCAAAAATGTTGTTTTTGTTTGAGGTAAAACTTGGTTGATTTTATGTATATGTTTCCAGTCAGACTAGTTGAAGTACAGTGTTGTATTCTTCATGTTGCCTGTTGACCAATGGACTTATTTTTATGCTCAGTAGTTTTCTTGTGAGTAATGAGGCTCATTGTCTATTCATCCGCGTCGTCTACAAAATATGAATCATGGTGAATAATTCGACGAAGCGAGAGGTTGTGTGGTAAACAATACGCTGAAGTCGAGGAATTATTACTTTATTTTTGGATGAATACGATGTATAATGGACTGAAACTTTAATTTGATTTACTTTCTTGGGAAAATATTTAATTAGTTGAATACGGAAAATGTCTTTCCGTGGAACTCCAAACAGCAAAAGAAAGGACCGGAAAGACACGGTAGGTCGAATGCATTTGTTTTCATCTGGCAGTTGATTATAATCGAGAGTTCACCGGCCTCATAGTCCGTTTCTCTGCATGCAGAAACATAGGTTAGGCCTAGCCTAAGCCTAGAGTTGGCGGATTGGCATGGCATGTGTGTGTGGGCAAATGGGCCAGTCAGTGTGTTTCCCAAAATGGGGTAGCGAAAATATCACTGTCAATATAATTATAAGTGGTAAATATGAGAGTTAGAGCCAAAAAAGGAGTGGAGCTGGTGAATCACTGAGCTGGTATTATTAATGGGAAGCTTATTAATTATGAATTACTAGGCCTAGGCCTAAACTATTAAATATTGCCTAGGCATAGGCCTAGGGGCCGGGCCTACCTAGGCCTATGTTGTGAGGTGTAGAGAAATAGGCCTGTTGTGTCACAGTCAGTGTCACTTTCTTATCGAAGGAAACAGGATTTGAATCCAGGACTTCAAGATTGGAAGTATGATGATTAAGTAACCACCAGGCTACAGCTCCACTACAAAGAAGCAATTACTAAAAAGAAATTTGTCACATTCTACTGAATAAAAAGTATAGCCGTGTACCATTGAGCAAAATAACATTGTTTGTTTATAAACTGAAGTGATTAGGAAATTTCACATATTGTGTCTATAGTTAGAATATTTAGTAACCGTGTAACTTAAAAATAACCAATCATCATAATACTGAAAGATATGTTGGTTCTCAAATATAAGCAATCTGTAGACTTGGTTCATAGAGTATTTGTTTATGCTTCTCTCACCTTAAGCCTGTCAAAGTGTGGTTAAATGTATGAGTGTCTATATATTTATTCAAAATTTTAATTATTTGTTTTGGAAATAATTGTTAGCCCATTGCTTAGAGCAAGAAGGTATTTGTTATTACAAAAAAAGTCACATTTGGAGTGGTGCTTATTTGAGAGCAGCGTTGTTTGAAAGAGACTTACATATTCCATCATTTATAGTGGTAATCAGGATGTTATACTTTCTTAATGAACCAATGAATATGCATCACTGTTTAAACAGGAATAAATTTAATTCAATTGCATTAAATTCACATTCTGCATAACCCAATCAAACACTAATATAATTCTACTATAGCTTCCACTAGCAGGTTCAATCTTTTGTTTACTTGGTTTTTTTTCCTACGTGTACTACAACTGTACGTAAGCATTTTTTTTTTTTTTAAGGGGGTTTTTTTTGCAATCTAGGTTGCAAGTGTGAAAAAAACACTTTTGTATGGCCGAACATCTATTCATATAATGTAAAGTACTGTATGTGTACAGTACAATGGATAGATGAACAATCACAGGGATTTCAACCACACAATAATTGCATCTAATTAAAAAATATCAAAGCTTATGGATTACTGATATGTTTAGATGCAAAACATTACTTAATTCAGAGCCTCTTTCAAGGGATTACTATATGTAGTATGATTCTTAATGTGTGGAGCTGCCAGACTCAACAAAAACTACTTCAGGTCTCGGCAGATTCGTAACATAAGGAGGTCAAGTAGTACTTATTGTAGGATCGAACCTCATTCCAGAGATAAACAATTGAAATTATACCTGCTCGGTTACATACTTAATGGCTGTGGATGACAAGTTTTATTAAGTTAATTAAAGTTGATTTGTCATTAATTGTGAAATGTTAGTGTAGAAAATAATATTACAGAGTCCTACTTTACTATACCATGTAATTAGCTTGAAATTAAATATCATTCGGTACATTAAGTTACGTGGTGAATGTTGGGTATGTGGAATTAAATCAGTAATACTAGTGACTTAAGTTAAAGCATGTACGATATTAATACTGTATCTCCATGGTGAAATTAAGCAAGGACTTTTAAAAGTAGCTGGTATTTGGTATCACATACTGTATGCAACTTTGACTTAGTTTGATTTTATCAGTGTAGTTTGTATTATGATATCAAAACTATTTGAACAACGCTTGTAATGTTTTGTATAACTTGACAATTGTAAACATGGCCAGATTCTAAGTTGATACTATACAGTTTATTTTATGGAATTTGAACCTTCTTTTATAGTCCCAACATAAAATCAACACAGATTCTTCTATTGTATCACATAGTCACTACGATTATTAGTACCTGAGTATTTACTATTATCTAATGAATAGAAGTTTGGTCTTTTTAATTAGGTTTACACTCAACTAAAATGGTTTTAAAGTACTGTACCGTACCTGTAAGATTTCCAATGGTTTAAAGTCCTGTTCACACTTGTAAATAGCTTCACAAACCATACATTGAAGTTGATATTGGAAAGGTCAGGTTGATTATTTTTATAGACTCAACAACTAAAGTATGTGTAGAATATATGATGCTGTACAGTAGTTGATAATTGCTGACAACAACCACCATGCTTTTCCACAACTTTTTTTTTTGTTAACTTTTAATTTTTGTAATTTTACTAGACACAAATTAACAAAACTCACATGCAACAATTCATGCAACAGTTCAAGGACTAGGAACAGAAATGCGGTAGTAAAATATTAATGACCTTTTAACAAATTTAAGTTGTGGTGCAAAATAAGTTTATAAAACCTGGTGTTGAGTTTTAGAGCTCAAGTAAGACATTTATGAGAAAAGTGGGACGGACACAATCCTTGAACCATAGTCTTTATTGTCCATATTTTGTATAAATTTACATACTGAAGTAAAGTTAGAAAACATTTTTATACAAAAGTAGCCCTACTGAAAAGTTTAAAATATTGAATTCAAATATTTACTGCAAAGCTGCAGTATTAAAATAGAACCTCCACTCTTTTTCCTTACCTATGCAACACCTATTGAGTATTATAATTTTGGTTAGTGAATTCCAAGAAATTTAATTTACTGTAGGGTAAATTAATTGAAAGGGTTACAGGTTACTAATGCCATGTTATTAAATTAAATTATTTTCTTTGGTTTGCAGTTTTCCAAGGTGATGTTGATGGGGGTGGTTGACAACTGGTACAATACAATATGTTCTTTAGCTAAGACTTAAAAGAAGTATTTTTTGGCAAGAGTCGTTTTTGCCCTCTGGTTCTTCACATACTTTATATTATTATAATTATTACTGACTTTTTTTCCTTTTCAGAATCATTCCCTCCAAGACCAAGATAAAGGATCATTATGCAATAAATGTGGAGATAAGTGTCCAGGATTTGCCCTCCATTACTGGAGGTAAGTATTCTTCAATTGCAAATTTCCCATTACATACTTTTTTATTATTAAATATTCAAGCACATAAGAATTTTTTTAGCAAACTTAATCGCTTTGTTATGACAAACTGTACACTATGTGCTACAGTACAAACTAAGTCTTGTTAAGAGACAAAGGAAGTGGAGTTGTCCACTGGAATTGAAGACATGATGTTTGGAAGGCAAGCATCTTAACCACCAAGCTAAGCCACTCCATAAAGCTAGGATATTTTAAAAAAATTATCAATATAGAATAATACAACATGGTATTCGAGCTGATTAATTAGTACCATAATTACAGTAAAATTAGTAGTCAATCTAAATAATTATCAGAGGCCTTAAAAAAATCTAACGACTAAAGGTACGCTGCTTTTTTTTTACGATTTCACCTGTTTTCTTAGAATTTAAACCTAATAAGTTCATTGTCAGTTGTTGATGTGCCATAAATGTCCGCATTCCAATAGTAAAACATTAATTTGTGACATCATTATTGTTGTAGTGAATGAGTTGGGAACAGGTGGACTTTTCTAGTCGCTTCATAAAACTCGACCCATAAAGTTTTAAGACCATGAAATGGGAATAATTATGTCAAAATACTGAGAGTCCAGCTTACTTATTTTGGGCTAATATAGTACATTCATGTTTTGTTGTTTTTGAGTTCAACCGTGGGAGCCACAATGGGATGTCGTGTGATACTATGCTAGTAAATCTGGATGGGTGTACGATTCCCACCCTAATCACAAGTATTTGATGATACAATACCAAGCATTCAGTATGATAACAATTCAGGTTATTGTTGCTGTTGCTCCAACTGTTTCTTTTTTTACTCTGACTCTGTATATAGGCCTTCAGTTGACTGTTGTTCGCATCATTCTAATCCTAGGGCAGTACTTATACTAGATAAATTTCTGCATAATAGTGTTTTTTTTTATAAAGTTTAAAGACATATTCTGTACAGAAATATGTAATTAGATTATATGAAGAAGCTTACTTGGTTCTTGGGAAATTCCTGTAGGATTGAACTCAGGACCCATTTATTTAGAAGCATGGTATCATCTTCAAAGTTTCAAAAGCTACTGTATGAATATGTATGTGATGTAATAATGTACAAGGTTTATACTATAAATTCCCATGTGTGGATCTTCATTGTCTTTGTGAAACCAGCATTCTTTGTTATCCAGTGGTTACATGACAATATAATTGGTTTAATAACTCTCCTTGACTTCTGCTTGAACCTGTCATTCATAACTAACTGTACAGTACAGTACCTCAAAACTCTACAATGCCACACAGTAATTATGCTTCAAGATTATGAACCATGAGAATGTGCAAAGTTATGTATTTACCAGTACAGTGTAATCTGTATAATGCACTTGCTCTATCATTTAGGCAGACTATAGTATCCAATAGGACAAAGGATTTTATCCTGTGATCTCGCTCACCTGAATTTTTTATCCTAAAAAGCAATCCTTTTAGTGCATAAAAAAATTTACATGATGTAAAAAAAATGGAGGTAAACAAGAGTAGATAAAATTGAAGTTGAATACCCAAAAGAAAAATGTTCAATTATGTTGTAGTTCTATACATTTTGATAGAGAGCTCATCAACTTCAAATGTTATACCCTAAATTAATAACAATTAATATTTCTTGCAACCTTCAGCAACTTGCAGGATGTACTTTAGTCCCAATAAAAAAAAAATGATCAGTTTATCATCCTCACCCCCATGTCTTCTATGGTAATGAAATTGAAAAAAAGCATTTTGGGGAGGGGGGATTTTTTTTGGAAAAACACATTTTTTGGGGGGAAATTATTTTTTTAAATGTTTATTTTATTTGTTTTTCTTTTTTTTTTAGTAAATAATAGACTGTTTGCATCATGTCATTCATGTATTTTACTTTGAATATCAGTGTACCAGGCAAACAACCCAAAGGTGATGATATTTGGCTTTAAATAGCAAATTAAAAAGTCCCCTCCCTCATCACTTTTCTAGCCTAGATAAGGTGGTAAATAATTATTTTTATAAGGCCTTATGCTGTAAAGGTGTATTATGTTTTATCTCTAGCATTTAAAAAACTGAACAATTTTGGATCATTTTAAGCTGCCAAGAAAAAGGGTGTGGCCAGCCCTATGAGTCGTAGATGCCCTGCTTTCCACATTGGTTTGTAGAAATTGATAACTTGAGCAACAGGCAGCTTTGAATGATGATCAGTAAATTTTTATTCACCTTTTAATGTAAAATTAGTACAGTTACCATTTTGTGGTAAAGTATTATTGTGCAAATCCCATTCATTCCTTACCACAGAGCATACTGTACTAACGCTAGCACCTAATGTATTCTATTAGTAGTGCCGACTAGAACCAAATCACAATACTACCAATTAAAAGGTTGAGTTCCAGCTTTGTTATCATTTAACAAAGCTAATAAAAAATCTTCTATTCTTCAGTGTATTGATGGGGTTTCTATTGATTGAATAACACATTTTCTTGATCAAATTGTGGGGATTGTAGTTTTCTTCTTTATTTATTATTAATTATGTTGAAGTTAATCTTAAATTGATTCTTTGTATTTTTTACACTTTCCTTTGTTGTATAATGTGTTTCAAGGTTGCTATTAAAAGAGACAAATCCAGTTAATTAACTACCATTGTTATTATTTTTAGTCTTTACTTTCTTTTAGCTGTATAACTTCCTTATCGAGAAACTAAGGATATGAATGGGATTCATTCATTTATTTGTCCTTTTAATCAGTTGATTCTTACTTTGTTTATAACAGTTGGTTCTAACTGAGTTTTTAACCCAGGTTAAACAAGAAATAAAGAAATAAATAATCAGAAAATGCATTGCATTCATTACAAATGTACTGTACTGTACCAGGTTCAGATTGAACTAGAAGATCAGCCATTCAATCACTTACTGTATTAATATACACTTTTTTTTAAATAAGAATACATTTTATAAGAATACTGAGGCTGAAATTGCTTAAAGAAGATACCTTTGGACTAAAAAAAGTGTCCCTATTAATAGGAATGTTCCCTGAATGGGAATTGGCATGGTGAAAATACTGTACTTTAATTTCATGGCTGAGAAAGTATCCCTTTAATATCATGGGCATCATAGGGATATCACATAGGTGATCTACTGCAATTTTAGAATTGGTAGCCTAAATATAAATTGAACTTGGTCATTAGTGAATGTAGGCCTATAAAAGAAAGTTTAATTGAACTTTGATTAACTATTATTTATAGTCATTAGAGATTATTCGGTGCCCCTCCTTCTAGATAATTCAATTTTAATGGTTTTCATAATATGAAGCGAGCTTAGTCAATAGCGAATGCAGTAACATAGGTCCTATATAAGAAAATTAATTCAATTGAATTCCTATTCATTATTTTCTCCATCAGAGTTTTTTTTTTGTGGCCCTCTTTTAATGTATATTTCAATTTTTATGGTTTTCATATTGATATTTAATAACCGTTATGTCTTAACGCAAAAAATAAAAATTATCGGACCATTTGGGAGACCAGTACTTTTGTATTGAAAATGTATCTAGTGAAAATGAAGAATAAACAAATACTGTAGGGCTCAATTAACCAAGTGATTATGATAAGAGGTAACTTACTATACATGAACAAAGAAATCTATCTACCATTGTTGAGCAATGGGGCAGTATTGTAAAGCTAAATTATGCTTCCCAGAATTTGCATTTTCTGTCACCATCTCGCCATCCTCATCTTGATGCCATATTGTACATCTGTACTGCCAGGTGAAGCGTTAATTTTATGTACACAGCTTTACTTGATTACAGTATATGAATTTACAATTCAACTGGTAGAATTTATAGAAATTTAATTATTAGTATGTACATAATATCACCAATTTGAAACAGTTTTATTGTTCTATTTCCAGATTTATGAATATTAATAATATGTGAAATTATATTTTATAACTATTCTGCTGAGTGAGAAAAATTGGCAATACATCATTAGAAGATTTTACTTCACTGTAGATGATGATGAATAGAAAATCAGTAACTTTCCCTCACAAATACAGTTTGGCTCTCGCTTTACTGCCTATTTTCTATATACCTGATGTTTCTTCCCAATATCAAGATAAATCCCAATTGATTCTTCGTAACTAATTTTGTGCGCATGTCACAATAATGCTGCCACAGAATGGCAGTGATGTTCTAATTTGTTTATATACAGTAATTAATCATTAAAACTCATTATTCTGTTACAAAATTGTCTCCTGGTACAGAATAAAAGTGAGTTATTGATATGCAGATAGATTAAATCATTAGCTTTATTTTGGTATATTTTGTATTAAGTTTCTAGGAGAGAGATACCTTCATTTCTATAGGGTTTTATAGTTGTTGAACTCAATTTAAAAACATTTTATTTCAGTCTTTCATTGGAAATTCTATGGTGCAGAATAGGAAACTGATAGATTAGTGTGATTATTACCTTAAATCAATGTTTGATATTTTAGAGAAAATTGTTTTGAGTGACGGTGGGTGGCACTAGGGGGAGATTAACAAGAGCACCTGCCTGATCAATTTTGTCAAAGGACCAAGATGATAAAGTGTAACAATTAATTCTATGGGGCCTAATGATGTGTGACAATCACAACAGGTACAACAACAATGATGACTACTGCTCAAGTACATGTTCACACATTACATGTTGATCTTGACAAAACATGTCACTGCTTTAAGGTTACTAGGCTACTCACCTGTTCAAGGCCTTCTTGCAACCTTGCTTCAGGCACAACTATCAAGGTGTTAATTGTATAGATTATCTAAGCCAACTATTTTGTTAATCATCGTTAATAAGCAAAATGTTAAATAGCAAACAATTAATGATTTAATAGATCTTTAAATATTGAATTTCAAATCTCCCTGGCGATAAAAACTTGCAGATTGGTATCAGATTAAGAAATGAAATAAGAATCACGCAAACCATTCAAGTCACCCAAAACAGGT